ACCTTACTGTCATCAGAATTGACTCAAAGAAGGAATAACATACATATTCAATTGGGGATAGAAGTCCATCTTACCCTATAGGAAAGTAGGAGGGGAAGGAGATAAGGGTGTGTGTGTGTGTGTGTGTGTGACAGAGAGAGAGATAGGGCAGGGCAGATTGATGGAAGGGATAGTCAGAAGCAAAACACTTTTGAGAAAGGACAGAGTGAAAGGAGAGAGAATAGAATAAAAAGAGAATAGAATAAACGGGTGGGGGAAATAGGATGAAGGGAAATACAGTTAGCAATAGTAGCTGTGAAAAAAATTTTGAAGCAGGTTTCTCTATAAAGGCCTCATTTTTCAAACATATAGAGAACTGAGTCAAATTTATAAAAATAAGAGCCATTCCCCAATTGATGATTGATCAAAAATATGATCAGTTTTCAGATGAAAGTAATCAAAGCTATCTACAGCCATATGAAAAAATAGTCTAACTCACTATTGATTGGAAAAATGCAAATTAGAACAATTCTGAGGAACTACCTCACACCTATTAGATTGGCTAATGGGATAGAAAAGGTAAATGACAAATGTTGGAGGGGATGTGGAAAAATGAGACTTTAATGCACTGCTGGTAGAGTTGTGAACTGATTTGACCATTCTGTAGAACAATTTGTGACTATGCCAAAAGGGCTATAAAACCATACATACCCTTTGACCTAGCAATACCACTGCTATGTCTGTATCCCAAAAGAGATAAAAAACAAAAAGGAAAGTACAAAAATATTTATAGCTGCTCTTTTCTAGGGGTAAAGAATTAGAAGTTGAGAGGAAACCCATCAATTGGGGAATGGCCAAACAAAATGTGGTATATGATTATGATGGAATATTATTGTACTATAAGACATGATGAGTAGGATGCTTTCAGAAAAACCTGAAAAGATTTGCATGGGCTAATGCAAAGTGAAATGTACTGTGTACAAAGTAACAGCATATTGTAAGATGATCAGCTGTGAATGACTTAGTTATTCTCAGCAATACAATGATTCAAGACAACTCTGAAGATTTATGATGAAAAATGCTATCCATCCCCAGAGAAAGAACTAATGGTGTCTGAATAGAGACTGAAGCATACTTTTTAAACTTTCTTTATTTTTCTTGATTTTTTTGTCTGTTTTCTTTCACAACATGACTATTATGGATATGTTTTGCACGACTACACACGATTAACCTACATTGAATTGCTTACCTTCTCAATAAGGAGGGGCAATAAGAAGGGAAGAAAGGTGAAAATTTGGAACTCAAAGTTTTAAAACCAAATGTTACAAATTGTGTTTACATGGAACTGGGAAAATAAAATACTAAATAAAAGCTAAAAAAAGATATCTTTATCAATGAGGTCCCTTGAGACTTTATATTCACGCAGAGTCATAAGATCTTATCCCCCCTACTGACCACATATTGCAAAATCTAAAGCACTGACGTTTGAGAATTTTACTGAAAAAATAGGATCCCCTCTTCCACTCCTTGTCAAAAGGCAAGAAATTTATTTATAAGTTTACTATATCAGTGAGTTCTTATTTAAAAATTTTTGGCTATCACTTATAAAATTATAAAAATATATGGGGTAGTTTAAAGATACAGCTTCATTACATTAATTGAGTCAACCTTTATGTATTCCATGTATATCTGAAACCTCAGAATGTGGTTAATTTTCATTTATAAGTAAAAGATAAATGACATGTAATAGTTGGAGAAACATGAGAAAATTAATAATGTTCAAACCCTACATCATGGTTTGTGAAATTTTTCTATTTGAGGTAAAAATGCTTGGGACTGTAATTTCCTTTTGATTATAGGAATGATTGTCTGAACTGTCATGAAGCTAATAGTAGAAAATGGCATGTACCCCAGTCTGAGAATTGCTATGGGTCAATGTCTGTCCCTGGGAAAAGTTGAGGGGACAACTTTGAAGTGCCCTAAGGTAGATACTCAGTTTCCCCATTGTGCTATTTCCTTTCTGGATAGGAGATTTTCCCATTTGGTTAATCTTGAGTCTGGCTTTTGATATGCTGTGAATAACATAGAGTTTTATTACATGAATAGCTGTCAGATATGATGTGCTTGGAATCAAACACAGCTAAGGGAGTTTTTCCTCTGTTATGGTTTGTGTCAGGTCAGTCTGTGTCCTTGAGAGAAAAAGTCTTGACGTTATTATAGCTATGTCCTTTCTTTTCCTTTCATAGCAAATTTCTATAATAAGGACAGGTAAGCAGTAGAAGGTTTATAAGTGCATAAACTAAATATATTAATTAACATATTGATGCTGAGTTCCTATAATAGGGGGCAAGTATGAAAAAATTTTAATCTGTATTTGTGGTCAAATAATATAGGAATAATATCCTCCTATTGTTATTGTTGTCCTTTGTACTTGAAGAGGACCAAAATGACATCATGATGCTGAGATCAGCATACAATGCTTCTGGCTGTGCCTGATCAGGTCAATACGACCTTGGAAGGCTCTATCACAAGTCAGGCACAAAGAACAGTTGAAGTGAAGGTCTCTAAATTTGCATATCTCATGTTTCTTTTTAGTTACTGCATTTCTGCTCTGCTCATAGAACACAGCTCCTTCTTTGATACATGTCTGCCATGCGGATGGTGCTGTGCCAGTGTCTCTGATGTATCACAATCAATATCAAAGTTCTTCAGAGAGACCTTGAGAATGTCTCTGTACTGTTTGTTCTGACTATGAGTTCTCTGCAAAATAGTCTTTTAGGCAAATGTATGTTTGGCTTTAGAACAATGTGGCCAGTCCACTGGAGTTGCCCATACATGGAACCATCAGTTACAGCAAATGGAGAAATTTTGAATGCTGTGGATAAGTTCACTTGTCTTGGCAGTATACTTTCCAGGGATGTACACATAGATGATGAGGTTGATGCATACATTGCCAGAGCTAGCTCAGTGATTGGTAGATTCTGAAAGAAAGTGTAAGAAAGAGGAGGTATTAGGCTGCCTACCAAATTGAAGATCTACAGAGCCATTGTGATGACCTCATTGTTGTATACCTGTGAAACTTGGACAGTCTACCAGTGCCATGCCAGAAGATTAAACTGCTTTCATTTGAATTGCCTTAGGAAAATTCTGAATATCACCTGGCAAGATAAAGTGCTGGACACTGAGGTCCTTTCAAACTCTACTGCAGAGAGAACAACTCCAGTGGGCTGGCCATGTTGTTCAAATGACAAATATATGTTTGTCTAAAAGATATCATTCTCAGTGGAGGAATTAGACAAAGTAACAAGATGAAAATGTAATATAAAAGTTTTCCAATTAAATGGAATAGTAAATTTTGAGAAAGCAACAGGGTTGGACTATTTTCTCTGATAACTATATATATATATATATATATATACATGTATATATGTATATGATTGACTTCCAAATGTATTTAATATGGAAACTCAGTCTTTGAGAATGTTTTAGTAATAAGTTTTCAAAATTGGATTAAGGATTTTACATATAAAATTACATTCATAATTTTTAAAAAGGAAATTATTTTCCCATTTTAAAGTATCTGGTAATTCTAAAAGACAGAAGGGTTCATTTTACAAGTCAGACCCTCATAAATTTTCTTTTTTTAAGATTCTTATATCAGGTATAGGGTTTAGGCAAAGAAACAAACAATAAGCAGTATATAAAAACTGAAATTCTCTGAAGGTTTATATTTAAAGAATCAAATTTAAGAGATTATACTTAATTGTATTATTTTTCTATTAGCAGATTTTAGTAGAATTATCTAGGAATCTCTACAAGTGGCTCTGAACCAAAGGAGCAGAGCTCCCTTCAGAGCTGTCCTAAGGATGAAGCCTATTCCAGAATGTCCAAATGAAGATATTTCCAGGGACCAGATTTCCCAGACATGGGACATCTGAGACTCAAAATGTGATGATTAAATAGACATTGGGAGTGGGTTACTAGGATACAAGAAGATTTGGTGTTATTAATATTGATGATCATCATTGTATTTCTCTGGCCTTTTGTTTCAGGTTGTTTGTGTTTGCTGAGTTTTTTTGGTCACCTTGGTGACATGTAAATCTTCTCTCTCAAAATTAGTCCATTGTGAGTGCTCTAAGTAGTTTGATCTGTAGCCTGACTTAGTTTACCTATAGAGTCTATTTAACAAGGTTTGTTTATCATTATCATTGTTCTTAGACTCCGTGGCTGTTGTAGTAAGCTATTTGAGAGGATGCTTCCCAGCGGTCTTTTCTTGGTACATAATGTTGATGGTGAGCATGAGCACATGAAAAATCTTATAGATAATTGATACATAGGGTGAGTGAGCTGACCATTCCCTTAGGAATCAAAGTGGGGAACTGAAGGAATTACATGAACTAAACTGACTCTATTTTGTAAAACTGACTCCATTTTAAGACCTTAGCTTCATTTTTCTGTAAATCCTCTTGCATTTCGGGTTCAGTGACAAATTTAAGAGGACTGGTTCTGATTTGTTATGTAATTGGCATGCAATGCTTCATAAATTGATCTGCTTGGAACCTTGAACCTTTTTTCCTCAGTTATTTCAGATTTCATCTGAAATCTGATACACGAAGGTCGCCAGGATGTGGGAGCAGGTGCAGGGATCTCAATGGTCCCCACTTGCACCTGGACAGAATGTTGAGCTAACTGGTTAAGACAGGTCCGTTCAGATAGAATAGACCCAGTGGCTATCACTGAATGTCTCCATGTTCCCAAGATTGAGATGATTAGAGGAATGGACATAGTGTGAAGGCTGTATTTGTCAATGTTTAGGGTTCTGGAAAAGATAGCACCTAGGCCAGCAGTCTTGGAGGCTGGTCCCATACAGACTAGTGGGGCTTGGGGCCTGACCCTGGGTTCTAGCTATCTCTTGGCCCTGTACCTAGGGGAGTTCTGGGTTGGTCAAAGCTTCTGGAGTTTCTTGGGGGTCCTCCTGAGGAGTTTCCTATTTAATCACCCAGGGGGCTCCAATGCTGTACACCAAGTTGCTGTACCTTTAGTTGATCCCTCTCCTCCTGCTGTACCTCCTGGTCCTAATGAAAAAGGAAAAAGAAAGTCAGTGGGTTCCTCTCCAGCTGGTGCTGATGGCAAGTAGATTATTAAAGAGGGGATGGATGGGGACTCTGTGGAGGGCAGAGGGGGTCTGGGGGCACCATAGCAGTGGTGCGGCAAGCACATTACCAGGAGTCATTGCCCCTTGAGTCGTGAGTCTGTCAGTTCTGAGTGCACAAGTTTCCTGCACTACCAGTGAAGTAATTTCTTTGGCACTCCCTGTGTTGTGCTGCTTGCTGCCTTCTTGAAGGTTGGGATACATGCTCTAATTTCCTTCTGATACCATCTCAGTGCCCCTTGTTGGAGCTGAGACTATCACCTTGGTATTGTTGGGTGAAGGGATTTCCTGGTCTTATGGTTTATTCATTCTGCTCCCCCCTCCCCGCTGCCGCTGCCACCATGGTTTGGCAGTTAAATGGAAGATGGGGGTGGGGAGGAGAAATCATGCCATCAGTGCTCAGGGTTGCCCTTATCATCCCACCTGTTATGATCTTGGTGGCCTGAGATGACCTGGTCCCTGGTACTACAGGTGTTTCCTTTTCTTCTATGGTTAGGGGATTCCATGGCCACCCATACCAATTCACCCTTCTCCATCCTCTGGTCCATGACCATTATGAGGGGAAAGCAAAGTAGGTTCCCCTTAAAGTTGGTGGTTGGAAGGTCTAGGATTCCCTAAGGTCTAGGAAACCCTAAGTTTCATTTAAGGCTATTGGCCTTGCCCTGTAGAATGAGGCAAGGACAAGGAGGTGGGTTGTAGGTGCTAGATTGGGAGCTAAAGGAGCCATGGGCTGGGGAGGGAAGCATTCGGTGTACAGAATGCTTCAGGCATCTATACCCACTAAGGGTCTGGTTTCCCCCTAGAAGCTTGAGCAGGGTGATTTTTAAAAGTCCTTATGTTTTTCTTTTCTTTTCTTTTTGGCTAGGCAATGGGATTAAGTGACTTGACCAGGGTCACACTGCTAGTAAGTGTCAAGTGGCTGAGGCTTTATTTGAACTCAGGTCCTCCTGACTTCAGGGCCGGTGCTCTATCCACTGTGCCACCTACTTACCCCATGTTTTTCAATAAGTTCAGCAAACTGGGGCCTATAAGCAGGTGGAAAGACTGCAAAATACCAGTGTCCTCTGCCTCTTGCTGCTCTAAAATGCATGCCCCGGTTACTATGGGTGGCTATGGGAGGGTCAAAAGTTGAAAGAATTTCCTTTGACAGTCTAGTTGTGACATTATTGGCTATGGGTCTCCTACATGAGTGATACAGCAAAAGCTCCATATAATTGTCTACTATTTTTGTTGTTCAGTCATTTCAGTTATGTCCAACTCTTTGTGACCCTATTTGGAGGTTTTCTTAGCAAGCACACTGGAGTGGTTTGCCATTTCCTTCTCCAGCTCATTTTTAACAGATGAGGAACCGAGGGAAACAAGGTTATATGATTTTCCCAGGGTGACACAGCTAGTGAGTGTCTGAGGCCAGATTTGAACTTAGGAAGATGAGTCTTCCTGAATTCAGGCCCCGTGCTATCCACTGCACCACCTTACCCCTCCCCCCAAGCGTCTACTATGGTGAGGGCATATTTAATAGCTCCAGCTTAAAAGGGCAAAGATCCTATAAAGTCCAGCTGATGTCCTAGGGCATCCATGCCAATTATGGGCAAGGGGGTGAAATGCTCAGGAACTCTAACTACTGAAGTGGTATACTCTGATTTCTCCCACAATGAGATTCATGGTGGTCTGGGTGCCTTGGATAGTGGCATCCATCATTGCCTATATGGGGTTAGTGGGGCCTCATCGTATATGAGTTGCCTGGGACTAGGGTGACCTGAAATCCAGGGTTTAGCAACATACTACAATACTGCTGGTTTCCAGGGTCCCACGGCACTGTGAGTGTCATGAACAGGTGATTGTCCTGAGGTGGCCCGGTGTCCTTAGAGCTGGCAGGCTCCTACGGGATCCTTCAAAGACTTTGCCAAACACACATGCCTCTGACATGTGTTGGAACTTCCCTGTATTTTTCCATGTACTATATCTATAAGGGCCTGATTTTTTTTTTTTTTTTGGTGAGGCAATTGGAGTTAAGTGACTTGCCCAGGGTCACATAGCTAGTAAGTATCAAGGGTCTGGTCTGAGACCATATTTGAACTCAGTTCCTCCTGATTCCAGGCCCAGTGCTCTATTCACTATGCCACCTACCTGCCCCAGGGCCTGAATTTCTTTGGAGGCTATGGTACAAGACTGCCAAGTTAGAGAAGTCCAAATCCCTTGCTCTCCAGTACAGGGTACCTTGAACTGTCAGATGTCAATCTTTTTCTCCTCTGTCTCAAGGACCCTTTACATGTCTTTTGCTATGCTCAGTTTGGGACTTGAGCCCCTGATCAGTGTTCTCTATTATTACTCCACTTACCTCCCTCTTGTCTGTGATCCCCATTCCCTTGGATGGCAAATACCTGAGACTCAGGCTTACTTTAGTGTCTCTCTACGAGGTCTGTCTAACAGGGACTGCATGGTCTCAGTGCTTGTCATCATGAGAAAGAGGATGGCACAGAGGTTCTCTGGGGCTCTTTTCAGGAGCACGGCCTTGGCTTCCTCAGTACTGTGATAAACCCACAGCATAGGGCCTGCCCATGACCTGAGCCAAAGCCTGGCCTTCCTTAAAGTAGTCCGTTGGGTCTGTGCCTTAGCTGTGATTGACAACAGGGAGGGTTATAGCCCTCCAGGCCCAGAAAACCTTCCTCTGGGCATTGGTGTAATTATTTTCATAAGTTCCCCAGGGTTTTTCAGGTGTGCATTCAGTCACTCTGCACACCTACACATAGAGGCTAATTGTGTCATTTCTCTGGCCTTCAGGGTCAAGTCCTCACTGATCTGTATCTCAAGCTAACTTCATCACTCAGTTCCAATTTGTCATCAGCTTTCTTTCCTAGCTGTCTTTCTACTGGTGAGAAGGAAAGCTTGGTCCAGGGACAGGGGGTTGGATGCCTTACCTCTTAGATCTTCTTCTGTTTCCTCAACTCTGTCTGCCTTAAAGGGGAAGGGGGATGGGTGGGTGGAGATAAGGTGGATATTCAGCCTACCTGCCCAGAAGACATTCTCCTGATATCCTTTATCATTGTGACAAGCAGTGGTAAGGAAATGCAATCACATTTCTCTAGGATCCCGATAGGTATCCAAAATTGGTGATTTCTTAAGGGTTCCTAGTGAATGAGGGAACAAGGGATTCCTCAAACAAAACTCGTCCAGTTTTCAGGACAAAACTCAGACTGGGACCTTCTAAGAATTCAGCAGAAGGCAGAATCCATCAGACTAAGGAAAATAACTCCAATAACAACAATAACAAATACAGGACAGTGACACCTCAAGCCATCTTCTTTGCCTCTGTCATGTCAGTAACTGTGTTGGTTACCAGGGTAACCAGTAACCAGGAATGAGATACATAATCCTTAGAATAGCTGGAGACTCTGGAATGAGAGAGGTGGGACTTCTGTTGACAGTTTTCTCATCCCCTAAAGTCCACTACAGACATGTGGCTTGTGCTTGCATTTTCCCCAAAACTACCTCATGCAGGCTTATTCTTGCACGTGTGTAGGTTATTCCCACTGTTGCCAGCTTTGGAGGGGTGCCAAGCAGTCCACCTGTGACCGTGCTTCTGTGGGGAAGAAGTAATGTCTTCCCTGCCCCAACTAGCCAAAAAACAGCTTAGCACTCAAGACTCATGTTGTTGTTGTTGTTCAGTCGCGTCTGACTCTCTGTAACCCCATGTGAAGTTTTCTTGGCAAAGATACTGAAGCGGTTTGGCATTTCCTTTTCCAGCTCATTTTACAGATAAGGAAACTGAGACAAACAGGGTTAAGTGACTTGCCCAGGTTTACACAGATAGTAAATATCAAAGGCCAGATTTGAACTTAGGAAGATGAGTTTTCCTGACTGTAAGCCTGTCCTATCCCTTTTTCAAGGACTTCTCCATGAGTACAAAAATGGTGCCCTTCTCTTAGACTAAAAGGCCTTACCCTTTAACCAATATTTCCATGTATTAAGGGGAGGTGGGAGAATACAGCCAGGGAATAGTTATGGAGTTGCTTCAGCTTGCTGTGGACGTGGGACTGCAGAAAAAGGGAAAGGACAATCTCTGGTGTGAAGGAGGAGGGGTTGGGGTGATTTAGAGGATGAGGGCTACAGCTTGTGAAGGCAGGTAAGAATTTACTGTGGACAAGAAACGAGCGGTTTGGGGTGAAAATGAGGGAGAGGAGAGGTGGAGTACGAAGACACCAGGTACACAGAATAGAAAAAAAAAACCCTGCCCCTTTAAAGTTGCTTGTAACAGCTTTAACCCTTTATACACACTTCAATTGAGAGGGGGCATACATTCCCCTGGTAGGTTGGGGAATGTGAATGACCTCTGCTTCCTCCAGAAGCAGACAGTACAACATGCAGGCAATAAATACAAGGTAAAGAATGTGATTGCTGGCCCTCTACACCTTTTGGCTAAAATTCCAAATAGTTGGATCCACTTGGCTAATTAGCTGGCCAATACTGTTTCCCTTACAGCACCACTTGCTGTGCCAATTTGACTGAATTGCTAGTTAATCTAAAATTATTAAATGAGGCAGGCAGTCCAGTTCTTCGAGTACTCCTGGGAAAGATCATAGTGGCAGCGGGATGCTAGGTGGCAATCATACTTCAATAAGACGGAGTGTAGGGGAAAAAAAGCACAGAAAGTACAGGGACAAGCATACAAATGGTATACAGAGGCAGATGCTGTGGGGATTGAATAAGGGTGGTGAAGGAAGGAAGGCAGCCTTAGGGTTAGCTCATTAACACACTGCTTCATCTTAAAGTTGTCAGTAAAATTTTGAATTTAACATATCCATGTCATGTCAAAGTTATCAGTACTACTTGGTGTTGACTTGTCTGTGTCTGGAGCTTATTTGAGATATACACATCATAGGACCAAAAATCTCTGATAGCAAAGCCTAGATGGCTTTTCCTGATTTAGCCCATAGTCTCAGGATGTGATTTCTGGTTGATATATGATACACTTCGCAAATTATGCTTCTTTGATCTTTGGAAAGTTTGTACATGATTTCTAGGTTCCCACTTGCAATCTTACATCCTGCTACTGACACTTTATACTATACTAACTAGAAAGGGGGCGGGGGAGATCAGGGGAACCAGAACAAGTTAAAATTTTAACACATGTGGAAATTCTACTAAAAGTCCTATATACATTGTATGGAGCACCAGGACTGTGCAGATCAGTTTGAGCAATGCAA